TCCTGTCCTGAGTGCGGGAAATGTTTTTTCAGTGACGTCCAGTCTTTACACACATCAGAGATCTCACACAGGAGAGAAGCCGTATTCCTGTCCTGAGTGCGGGAAAAGGTTCTTTTCTAAATCTGGTCTTAATGTGCATAAACTGTCTCACACGGGGGAGAAGCCGTATTCTTGTCCTGAGTGTGGGAAATGTTTTGTAGAAAAAGCAAAACTTGTCAGACATCAGAGGTCTCACACGGGAGAGAAGCCATATTCCTGTCCTGAGTGCAGGAAATGTTTTTCACAGCAGTCTTGTCTGCGCAAACATCAGAGATCTCACACAGGGGAGAAGCCATATCCCTGTCCTGAGTGCGGGAAATGTTTTTCACAGCACTCTAGTCTGCGTGAACATCAGAGATCTCACACAGGGGAGAAACCATATTCCTGTCCTGAGTGCAGGAAATGTTTTTCAAAGAAGTCCTATCTTTCCATACATCAGAGATCTCACACGGGGGAAAAGCCGTTTTCCTGTTCTGAGTGTGGGAAATGTTTTTCAAAGACGTCTCATCTTTACACACATCAGAGATCTCACACGGGGGAGAAGCCATATTTCTGTCCTGAGTGCGGAAATGTTTTTCAGATAAGTCCAGTCTTCACACACATCAGAGATCTCACACGGGAGAGAAGCCGTATTCCTGTCCTGAGTGTGGGAAATGTTTTTCAGTGAAGTCCAATCTTTACAAACATCAGAGATCTCACACGGGGGGAGAAACCATATTCCTGTCCAGAGTGCGGGAAATGTTTTTCAGAGCAGTCTAGTCTGCGCGAACATCAGACATCTCACACAGGGGAGAAGCCATATTCCTGTCCTGAGTGTGGGAAATGTTTTTCAAAGAAGTCCAATCTTTTCACACATCAGAGATCTCACAAGGTGGAGAAGCCATATTCCTGTCCAGAGTGCGGGAAATTTTTTTCAGACAAGTCCAGTCTTCACATACTTCAGAGATCTCACACGGGGGAGAAGCCATATTCCTGTCCAGAGTGCTGGAAATGTTTTTCAGACAAGTCTAGTCGTCACACACATCAGAGATCCATTGAGATGATGAAAAATGTTGTTACTGAAAAATTACCCCTAGGTGGCACTTGAACCCTTTTCCTGCCATGGATGTACTAATGTTGTACTGACCTACAAAACTGCTTCCAGCTGGTCAGGTGACTACAACATACTGTCATGGCTTCCCCCTTCTGCTATGAGTGCCTGGTCTGCTGAGCTTCCCTGCACTCCACAGCCCCTCTGCCTGTCCTCTAAGATGGCTCCCCACAACTCTAACATGCACCTGCATCACAGATCCCCCCACAGCACCTATCCCCCACAGCACTGATTCCCCCTCCCCCCCCACAGCACTGATCCATCTGTGGCTCCCCTGCTTCTGGCTTCTCTCCCCTCCCACTGGCTGCAGCTGCTGCAGGGGAGCCACAAAGGGATCAAAATATCTAAATACTTCCCCATCACTAAAACTCCCTCCCTGTGCTGGGACCTCCTACTGATGTCCCAGCCCCCCCTCTGTGCAGTGCTGCTGTCTGACTTCCCCTCCTGCCCCCCACACTGGATGCAGCTGCTGCTGGGGTTAGAGATCAGTGTGGTGTTCAGGATGGAGAGTGGGGAGTTGGCATGTCATATTTGCCAGCCCTTTCTGAATGAACACAGTGAGTGATTGGTACCAATCACTCCTGTGGTCATTCACTGAAGCATAGTAAAGGGTGTTTCCTGGCCTTCAGTTTTGTGAATGAATAGGAGCCTCTGTACAGCATCTTCCTACAAATCTCACCCATAGAACAATATTGGAGATAACAGCAGTATTGTCCTCACCAATCACAGCCCGGATATTTCCCAGTACAGGTCAGGAGGGGGAGGGGGATGGGTTATAGTACAATAAGGGGCCCATAGACATGACATGACAGAGACCCTCATAGATACAACTTTGTCATGTGATCTATCAGGAAATGACCAGATTGGAGGACAGTCTCGTGTCTGGGGGGTACCTGCACACAATGGGGGCTCCTCAGGGATTATTGTGATTGGACAGGGCAGAATACCCTATAGGTCCCCCCTCATAAACCAACACTGGGAGGAGTCTGTGTACTCCTCCCCCTCCTTTCTGCATACAATTAAAATAGCCCTGTCATGAGAGCAATATGTAGAAATCCTCCAAACCATCAGGAGACGGGAAGAGGATAAAAGACCATGGGAGAGATGGGACTGAGTGTAGTGATGGATACCAGAAGGTGGGAGATGGTTCTAGAAGATGGGGGAGAAGTACGGTGCATGTACTCACATCTGGGAGGTTGCGGGGAACCCATCCAGGGATCAGACAACCTATCTGAGGACTGGTGGTGAATATGTCTCTCTCATTGAAGTCAATAGGTGGTCACCCTCCATGGTCATCGGGGAATTCCAGATCATCGCATACTATGCAGGATTTGGATCCCGGTGGAGAACTTTCACCCCAAGAAAAATAGAGGGTGAGGTCAGCAGAGGAGCCCATAGTAAAGGAGGAAACTCTGAAATGTTTTCTTCAGAAGGTCGGTGTTTACTGGACAAGTGAATGTAAAATACACCATCAACGCGTTTCATGGCTTCAAAGTGTCACTTCATCAGGACAGGTGTAAGAAGACGATATAAAAATAGGGAATGAAGTAACAGTCCAGTATATGGTATTATAAAGACCCGAGTCACATACAATTCATGGACAGGACTGAGATTTATAGCATTCAGGATTTGTATGATGTTAGACAAGGTGAAGAGATATATATGGAGAGGATGATCAATACATGGAGAAATCAATCTATTCTATCATAGAAGGGAATCAATAGATCAATAAATGACATCAACCAATCAATAAGAGGCTTTTCATGGGATAGATTTATCATTCTGTGCACTGGTTATGTTGGAGGATCAAACCGTGATCACTGGATATTGGAAACATTCCTATTGATCTGATGATTGCTGGCATGGATTCCTGATTGATTATTGCTGGGAATAAAGTCCAATAAACACGCAGATTTGATGGGATTATTGATAGAAAAATCTCTTCATATTCCATGGAATAAATATGTGTAGAATAGTTTGGATTTGATGGAATAAATCTCTATAAAAAGACTTTGTGGGGTTTGTTGGTTCTTTTCTATTCCTCTCTAGGTCTGGATTTCAGGAAGAAGAAACAATTCCTCCAATTTCTAGTGGATGGTGAGGAGGGGAGAGATTTGGGGGAGTTTTGTACATACAGGAGGTAATAGAGAGAATCTGGCTAGTAATTGATGAGAGATTTCAGTGGAGAGTTCCATTGGTGAGAATTCAGGGCTGGGGGCACTGCTGGGACCTGGAGGGTTCTAATTGGACCACCTGTACATGTGCCGTTTAATTTGGAGGTGTGCATTGCTGGGGCCTTGAGGATTCTGACTGGACCACCAGTACATGTGCCATTTATTATGGGGGTGTGTGCATTGCTGGGGCCTGGAGTGTTCTGATTGGACCACATGTACATGTGCCGTTTTAATTTGGAGGTGTGCATTGCTGGGGCCTGGAGTGTTCTGATTGGACCACCGGTACCTGTGTCATATTAATCTGGTGGTGTGCACTGCTGGGGTTTAGAGTGTTCTGATTGGACCACCGGTACCTGTGTCATATTAATCTGGGGGCTGAGCGTTCCATCAGTGGAATGATTCTGGAAGGATGAGCTCCAGCTATGTATATAATGGGTGATGTCCTGGGGGGGTTTTCATGCTTCTATGCTTAACTGCCATGCATGCCCAGGGCTTTACATCTTCCCCCAGCAACACTGAGCTCAGCCGCTGCTCCTATAAAATAAAGCACACGTGTATGTGCGGCATTTAAACACAGGAATGTGATCATGCACAGCGTATTTCATCTACATGGATCCCTTGTCTGCACATAATATTCTACCCATAAAGCAAATGTACCTTTAACCCCTTCCTGATGACCGTACACATATACGTGGTCACACAAAAGTGGGCCTTAACTTCTTCCCTCCCAGCCTATTATAAAATAACAGCCAATTGGGATCCCTATTATCCCGTGAGGATGTCATATGACGTCATCCTGGGATCATGCCTCACGTGTGCCCTATGGGCCAAGCTCCATTGTGATCTGTCACAGCTGATGACAGATCACTACACTGGCCAGTGTCAAAAGATCACCATGACCAATCCCAGCAGATCACATGATAGTTGTAGACAATGAAAGGCTTCCTTTCATGCCATTCACTGCTTACAACTATGCTGCAAGCTGTGATTGGTAACAGTGATCACATGTACAGACTTGGCCAATCACAGCCCATCTGTAGCATGTGATCACCTATGGCCAATCACAGCTTATCATAACAAAAACTAATCTGTCAAACAAATCTGATTTCTTTTTATGAGGTGAGCAAAACCTTGGACAGAAGGGTGGCTGTGGACGTGGTATACTGGGACAGAGGGGTGGTGGTGGATGTGGTATACTTGGACAGAGGGGTGGCTGTGGACGTGGTATACTTGGAAAGAGGGGTGGCAGTGGATGTGGTATACTGGGACAGAGAGGTGCACGTGGTATACTTGGACAGAGGCGTGGCAGTGGATGTGGTATACTTGGACAGAGGGCTGGCTTTGGCATTGGTATACTTGAACAGAAGGGTGGCGGTGGACGTGGTATACTGGGACAGAGGGGTGGCTGTGGATGTGGTATACTTGGACAGAGGGGTGGCGGTGGACGTGGTATACTGGGACAGAGGGGTGGCTGTGGATGTGGTATACTTGGACAGAGGGTTGGCAGTGGACGTGGTATACTTGGACAGAGGGGTGGCAGTGGATGTGGTATACTTGGACAGACAGAGGGGTGGACGTGGTATACTTGGACAAAGGAGTGGTGGTGGATGTGGTATACTTGGACAGAGGGGGTGGCTGTGGATGTGGTATACTTGGAAAGAGGGGTGGCTGTGGACATGGTATACTTGGATAGAGGGGTGGTGGTGGGTGTGGTATACTTGGACAAAGGAGTGGCTGTGGATGTGGTATACTTGGACAGAGGGGTGGCGGTGGACGTGGTATACTTGGACAGAGGGGTGGCGGTGGACGTGGTATACTTGGACAGAGGGGTGGCGGTGGACGTGGTATACTTGCACAGAGGGGAGGCGGTGGACGTGGTATACTTGGACAGAGGGAGGGGTGGCGGTGGACGTGGTATACTTGGACAGAGGGGTGGCAGTGGATGTGGTATACTTGGACAGAGAGGTGAACGTGGTATACTTGGACAGAGGCGTGGCATTGGACGTGGTATACTTGGACAGAGGGGTGGCTTTGGCATTGGTATACTTGAACAGAAGGGGGTGGCGGTGGACGTGGTATACTGTGGGACAGAGGGGTGGCTTGTGTGGATGATGTGGTATACTTGGACAGAGGGGTGGCGGTGGACGTGGTATACTGGGACAGAGGGGTGGCTGTGGATGTGGAATACTTGGACAGAGGGTTGGCAGTGGACGTGGTATACTTGGACAGAGAGGTGGCAGTGGATGTGGTATACTTGGACAGAGGGTGGCGGTGGACGTGGTATACTTGGACAGAGTGGGGTGGCGGTGGACGTGGTATACTTGGACAGGTGGGGTGGCGGTGGACGTGGTACTTAAGACACAGTCTCCGGGACACACTTGGGCTAATGTGTAAGGTAAAGTCTAAAGGATGGACAAAATGGCTGAATGTAAGTGGATATTGACTAAAAGATCGTATTCAGAGAGTAGTGGTGTTATTAGTGGTGTACCCCAATGTTCAGTATTATTAGTGGGGTATACTTGGACCGTGAGGTTCAGTGTCGGGACCCTTACTTATTAATATATTTATAAACAATATGGGGTGTGAGATTATAAATCCCATTCCAGTCTTTGCAGATGACACCAAGCTGTGCCGGGGAATAACGTCCTTACAGGATGTCTCCAACTTACAAGCCAACCTCAATGCTCGTGTAATTGGGGGACTATGGGGCCAATGGTAGGGCTAATGGTGATAAATGTAAGGTTCTGCACTTGGACAGGGGGCTAAGAATATGCATTGCATCGTACATAGGGGGGGGGGTACAAACATGGAATCAATGGTGGAGAAGGATCTGGAGGTTCTGGTAGATCACAAGATTACTTAACCCCAAGGTACAACTCAGTGGTATTGTCATCTGGAATATGCCGGGGATTTGGGTATACTTCACAAAAAGAAACATTGGGGAACTGGAGAAAGTACAGAGAAGGGCATGTACCAAACTGATACGTGGACATGGAGGAGCTCAGTTCGTGGTCATATGAGGAAAGTTAGTGGAACTGAATGTATTCTTACTGAGAAGAGGAGATTAAGGGGGGATATGATCACCATGTATAAGACATAAGGGGGATATGATCTCCATGTATAATACATAAGGGGGGATATGATCACCATGTATAATACATAAGGGGGGGATATGATCTCCATGTTGTATAATACATAAGGGGGATATGATCTCCATGTATAATACATAAAGGGGGATATGATCTCCATGTATAATACATAAGGGGGATATATGATCTCCATGTATAATACATAAGGGGGGGATATGATCTCCATGTATAATACATAAGGGGGATATGATCTCCATGTATAATACATAAGGGGGGGATATGATCTCATGTATAATACATAAGGGGGGGGATATGATCTCCATGTATAATACATAAGGGGGATATGATCTCCATGTATAATACATAAGGGGGGATATGATCTCCATGTATAATACATAAGGGGGATATGATCTCCATGTATAATACATAAGGGGGGATATGATCTCCATGTATAATACATAAGGGGGGATATGATCTCCATGTATAATACATAAGGGGGGATATGATCTCCATGTATAATACATAAGGGGGGATATATGATCTCCATGTATAATACATAAGGGGGATATGATCTCCATGTATAATACATAAGGGGGGGGATATGATCTCCATGTATAATACATAAGGGGGGATATGATCTCCATGTATAACATACATAAGGGGGGATATGATCTCCATGTATAATACATAAGGGGGGATATGATCTCCATGTATAATACATAAGGGGGGATATGATCATCTCCATGTATAATACATAATACAGGGGGGATATGATCTCCATGTATAATACATAAGGGGGGGGATATGATCTCCATGTATAATACATAAGGGGGGATATGATCTCCATGTATAATACATAAGGGGGGATATGATCTCCATGTATAATACATAAGGGGGGGATATGATCTCCATGTATAATACATAAGGGGGGATATGATCTCCATGTATAATACATAAGGGGGGGGATATGATCTCCATGTATAATACATAAGGGGGATATGATCTCCATGTATAATACATAAGGGGGGGATATGATCTCCATGTATAATACATAAGGGGGGATATGATCTCCATGTATAATACATAAGGGGGGATATGATCTCCATGTATAATACATAAGGGGGGATATGATCTCCATGTATAATACATAAGGGGGGATATGATCTCCATGTATAATAATAAGGGGGGATATGATCTCCATGTATAATACATAAGGGGGGATATGATCTCCATGTATAATACATAAGGGGGGGATATGATCTCCATGTATAATACATAAGGGGGGATATGATCTCCATGTATATAATACATAAGGGGGGATATGATCTCCATGTATAATACATAAGGGGGGATATGATCTCCATGTATAAATACATAAGGGGGGATATGATCTCCATGTATAATACATAAGGGGGGATATGATCATCTCCATGTATAATACATAAGGGGGGATATGATCTCCATGTATAATACATAAGGGGGGATATGATCTCCATGTATAATACATAAGGGGGGGATATGATCTCCATGTATAATACATAAGGGGGGATATGATCTCCATGTATAATACATAAGGGGGGGATATGATCTCCATGTATAATACATAAGGGGGGATATGATCTCCATGTATAATACATAAGGGGGGATATGATCTCCATGTATAATACATAAGGGGGGGGGATATGATCTCCATGTATAATACATAAGGGGGGATATGATCTCCATGTATAATACATAAGGGGGGATATGATCTCCATGTATAATACATAAGGGGGGATATGATCTCCATGTATAATACATAGGGGGGGATATGATCTCCATGTATAATACATAAGGGGGGATATGATCTCCATGTATAATACATAAGGGGGGATATGATGATCTCCATGTATAATACATAAGGGGGGATATGATCTCCATGTATAATACATAAGGGGGGATATGATCTCCATGTATAATACATAAGGGGGGGATATGATCTCCATGTATAATACATAAGGGGGGATATGATCTCCATGTATAATACATAAGGGGGGATATGATCTCCATGTATAATACATAAGGGGGGATATGATCTCCATGTATAATACATAAGGGGGGGATATGATCTCCATGTATAATACATAAGGGGGGGATATGATCTCCATGTATAATACATAAGGGGGGGGATATGATCTCCATGTATAATACATAAGGGGGGATATGATCTCCATGTATAATACATAAAGGGGGGATATGATCTCCATGTATAATACATAAGGGGGGATATGATCTCCATGTATAATACATAAGGGGGGATATGATCTCCATGTATAATACATAAGGGGGATATGATCTCCCATGTAATAATACATAAGGGGGGATATATGATCTCCATGTATAACATAAGGGGGGATATGATCTCCATGTATAATACATAAGGGGGGATATGATCTCCATGTATAATACATAAGGGGGGGGGATATGATCTCCATGTATAATACATAAAGGGGGGATATGATCTCCATGTATAATACATAAGGGGGATATGATCTCCATGTATAATACATAAGGGGGATATGATCTCCATGTATAATACATAAAGGGGGGATATGATACATCTCCATGTATAATACATAAGGGGGGGGATATGATCTCCATGTATAATACATAAGGGGGGATATGATCTCCATGTATAATACATAGGGGGGGGGATATGATCTCCATGTATAATACATAAGGGGGGATATGATCTCCATGTATAATACATAAAGGGGGGGATATGATCTCCATGTATAATACATAAGGGGGATATGATCTCCATGTATAATACATAAGGGGGGATATGATCTCCATGTATAATACATAAGGGGGATATGATCTCCATGTATAATACATAAGGGGGGATATGATCTCCATGTATAATACATAAGGGGGGGATATGATCATCCATGTATAATACATAAGGGGGGATATGATCTCCATGTATAATACATAAAGGGGGATATGATCTCCATGTATAATACATAAGGGGGGATATGATCACCATGTAATAATACAGGGGGGGGATATGATCTCCATGTATAATACATAAGGGGGGGGGATATGATCTCCATGTATAATACATAAGGGGGGATGATCTCCATGTATAATACATAAGGGGGGATATGATCTCCATGTATAATACATATAAGGGGGGATATGATCTCCATGTATAATACATAAGGGGGATATGATCTCCATGTATAATACATAAGGGGGGGATATGATCTCCATGTATAATACATAAGGGGGGATATGATCTCCATGTATAATACATAAAGGGGGGATATGATCTCCATGTATAATACATAAGGGGGATATGATCTCCATGTATAATACATAAGGGGGGATATGATCTCCATGTATAATACATAAGGGGGGATATGATCTCCATGTATAATACATAAGGGGGGATATGATCTCCATGTATAATACATAAGGGGGGATATGATCTCCATGTATAATACATAAGGGGGGATATGATCTCCATGTAATACATACATAAGGGGGGATATGATCTCCATGTATAATACATAAGGGGGGATATGATCTCCATGTATAATACATAAGGGGGGATATGATCTCCATGTATAATACATAAGGGGGGATATGATCTCCATGTATAATACATAAGGGGGGATATGATCTCCATGTATAATACATAAGGGGGGATATGATCTCCATGTATAATACATAAGGGGGGATATGATCTCCATGTATAATACATAAGGGGGGATATGATCTCCATGTATAATACATAAAGGGGGATATGATCTCCATGTATAATACATAAGGGGGGATATGATCTCCATGTATAATACATAAGGGGGGATATGATCTCCATGTATAATACATAAGGGGGGATATGATCTCCATGTATAATACATAAGGGGGATATGATCTCCATGTATAATACATAAGGGGGGGATATGATCTCCATGTATAATACATAAGGGGGGGATATGATCTCCATGTATAATACATAAGGGGGGATATGATCTCCATGTATAATACATAAGGGGGGATATGATCTCCATGTATAATACATAAGGGGGGATATGATCTCCATGTATAATACATAAGGGGGGATATGATCACCATGTATAATACATATAAGGGGGGATATGATCTCCATGTATAATACATAAGGGGGGATATGATCTCCATGTATAATACATAAGGGGGATATGATCTTCATGCTGCTTTTGATTCAGTGGTGCGTTGAAGGAGTGCATAGAAGAAGCAGTTAAACACAGCAGCAGGTTGAACTAAAGCAGCAGGAAGACACAACAACAGCACAAAATTCTACTGCATGCTGGACAGACTGCAAGCAAACACCCTGGGAAACATCGCTTACATGCCTGAGTCCCACTCCATGTACCTTTATAATATGTCCTTTCTTTTCCTTTTCATACTACTACTATCCTCT